TCAAGGCTAGTGCTGAGTGGTTAATTGTAGATAAGAGTCTCACTGACTTTCCTGCGCAGGCTGGCTTTGAACTGCGATCCTCAGATCTCAGCCTCCTGAGTAGCTAGGATTACAGTATGAACTATTAACGCCTGGCTTAAAAGACTTACCTTAATATCAATTTTTTAAAAGTTTTTCAAATACTCTATTACACAAAATACTTATTTTTTTATTTTTTTGTGGGTCGTGGGGCTTGAACTCTGGGCCTGAGCACTGTCCCTCAGCTCTTCAGCTCAAGGCTAGCACTCTACCACTTGAGCTACACCACTTCCAGTTTTCTAGTGGTTTATTAGAGTTAATAGTTTCATGGACTTTCCTGCCCAGGCTGGCTTTGAACCATGATCCTCAGATCTCAGCCTCCTGAGTAGCTAGTATTACAAGCATGAGCCACCAGCACCTTGCTAAAATACTTATTTTTAAAGGTGATAAGTCATTAAGGGACTGTTTCTGACATAAAATTCTTGTGTGTTTGTGCCTGTGTGTGTATCTCTGTGTGTACAAGTACTGAGGCTTGAAAGTAGAGACTGGGCACTGTCTCTTAGCTTTTTCTGTCAAGGGTGGTGCTCTATCACTTGAGCCACACCTCCACTTCCAGCTTTTTGCTGGTTAGCTGGAGATAAGAGTCTCTTAGACTTCCTGTCTGGGCTGGCTTTGAACTGTGATCCTCAGATTTCAGTTTCCTGAATAGATAGGGTTAAGGCATGATTAAATTATGGATGAATAATAAGTTAACTGAAGAAAGTCCATGTGTTAAAAGCAAGTAAGTAATCAAATTGTTCAATGTTCACAATTATAAAGAGTGAACTCTTATATTTTCCCCCACACTCAATTAAGAATTAAGATTCTTCTATTATTTGCTAGAGAACTGAATGATCTAAATAAATGGACAATGACTTACAGAACAACTATTCCAGTGAAAGGGATATTTATTCAACTCGAGAAAAAGAAGTTTCTTCCTTGGAATCTTTGTCACAAAAATTAGTACATTTTGTGAAAAGATAGCTTTTGCCTTTGAAATCAAATATCAAAGGCTACATGTTTTCCAGTCTTCCATTTACATGTTTTGGAATAAAGATATTAAAGAAATAAAAATAACTGAAACAGAATTTGAAGAAATAAAACAATCATGATGCAGAGATGAAGCAGTAGTTTCTTCACAATTTCATACAACATTAATGAGAAGTTATATAATCCCCTAGATTCGAGAGAGCTACAATGATCTCTTTCCATTTTCAGTACTGTTTTCTGTTCTCACATCCTCCCACCCCAAAATAATTCTACATAAATTCTACCTAGCTTTCAGATGAACCATATAGTTTTCAATAAAAAGGCAAACCTATAGTAGCACAAAACATGCATAAATATTAACCTAGCTTTAAATAAAGATTGTAGGTAATATTTTAGTTCCTCAAGTTAAAGTTACAACATACACTGCATGCAATTAATTCTCAGGGGAGAAAAATGATTAAGACAAGAGCTCTTGCTTAAACCATTTTCTTTGTACTTAAACCTCTATCTTACCCAGGGTATTTTGCTATCGATTATTATCACTATTTTTCTTTTTTTTTTCAGTCGTGGGCCTGAACTCTGGACCTGGGTGCTGTCCCTCAGCTCTTCAGCTCAAGGCTAGTGCTCTACTTGAGCCACAGCGCCACTTCCAGCTTTTTCTGCTTATGTGCTGCTGAGGAATCAAACCCAGGCCTTCATGCATACAAGGCAAGTACTCTACCATTGAGCCACCTTCCCAGCCCTATCTATTTCTTTTCTCTACAAAAATTAGAATTCTATTGTATTGTCAGTTTCTTTAAAATGATTTTATATATTCTGTATTTTATATGGTCTTGTATTACTGCCTGGCCTTGACTTCCACTAAAGCAAAATAAAAAGTTTTATAATACGTTTTCTCTAAAAAGAAATTTTTTGCTTTGAAAAAAAAATTAATTCTTTTGCGGCAGGATCTTGTACAGTCCAGGCTGGTCTGGCACTAGTGATTCTTTTACCTTCTTATTCCTAGCACTGGGATTACTGGCATGAACCACCACACCCAGTTAAATGTTTCTTATTTTGCATTTGCTTTCTTTTGGGACATGAAATGTTCTCAAACTAGCTCATTTCTGTGTTAGTTGTTTACTGTCAATATGTATGTTTATACTTAGAGCTTTTTTTTTTTTTTTTTACAAACAATGCTTCATAGCACAGTAGTTAGAGAGGAAGAAACAAAAGAAAGGGTGAACAAGGGGGCACAAGGGAAACAAAAGTGGAACACATCGGAGACACGACTCAATTTCTTGGCCTCAAATTCCCTTAAGTCCTCATGCCAAAGATTCTCAATATCCAAAAAAGATTCAAAGAATCAGGGACACAATGCAAAATGTGATAAGACCAACACAGGAGAAATCAAATCAGAAGCTGAAGATATTTAATGGAATGTTTTATTACTACCTGAGGAAGAATTAGCACAAAAAAAAAATAAGGCCAGGCGCCGGTGGCTCATGCCTGTAATCCTAGCTACTCAGAAGGGTGAGATCTGAGGATCCCGATTCAAAGCCAGCCTGGGCAGGAAAGTCTGTGAGACGCTTATCTCCAATAAACCACTCAAAAACCAGAAGTGGCGCTGTGGCTCAAGCGGTAGAGTGCTCGCCTTGAGCTGAAGAGCACAGGGACAGCGCCCAAGCCCAGAGTTCAAGCCCCACGACCAACAACAAAAAAAAAAAGGATAAATAAGTACCCCAAGCCTAGATATTGAAAGGTTTGCTCTTACTACACTACATGGCTCAAAAGGCTTTTCAAAGTTTTCTAACTCTAAGAAATGCATTTTACGTTGTGATCTATTACATACACGTATGAGAGGTTTTCCAAACGATACTTTTCTTTACCAAATACAAAAATATTAAAAAAATCACTTTATTTTCAATGTGATAACCTGCCAATTTGATTTTGTACATTACTAAATAATTATTATCCATGCTTTTTAAAAACGGGCTCACAAAAGGATATCCTTAACTGAATAAAGTAGTGCATAACTGTAGGCCTAGCACTCCAATAATCCCAGCAGTTGAGAAGCTGAGATAGAACAGTGTCCAATGCCAGCCTGTAGTATATTGTAAGAATCTGTTTCACTCAAACAACAAAAAGATATTTATTAGGATTAGGATGGTGGTGATGGTGATATGTGCCTCTACTAATCTCTTTTGCAAGATAGTTATTTGAAGGTTGCTTATTATATTTTCATTAATGCAAGTATAGTCCCTTGACCAAGACAAACATCAATTGAGATAAATACTAATTCTTGGGCCCCACCCTACATGTGGCAAATCAGAAACCCCAAATGGAGCCAACCAATTTGTAGCCTTGTAAGCCCTCCAAGAAAGACTGATATGTCTGAAAATAAATGCATCAAGGAACTCAGGTCTTTATCCTTTAACAATCCAGTACACGGTGCTGTGTGTCAGTCACTATTCCAAAAGCTCTACCTAACTTTTTTAAAAAGCTGTAAACACTATGAAAACTATTGGTTTTCCTATTTTACTACAGATGAGCAAAATCTGGAGAAATTAAGTTGGCCAAGCTACTCACCGGGACTGAACTTCCAACTTATTTTGAATATAGCAGGACATGCCTATCCTGGTCATGAATATCCTCTTTCTGATCAGGTCTTCAGTTCTATTCCTTTAGCTCAGCTACTCCTCCCCCACTTTTCCTCTCAAATTCCCTCCCTGTCAATGTCTTTATTCTCTAGCATTGAAGCTATCCTAAAACATTTCTAAAGCCTTGGAATGCAAGTCACTAAATCTTGGGGTTTTTCTTTTTTAGGGGGTGGGGCGGGGTGTTGCTTTTTTTTTTTTTTTTTTTCTGATCCTAGATGGCACCTTCTTATTCATTATGCAGCTTAAGTTTCTTCTTCTTTTTTTGGAGAACTTACAACACAGTATTGTTAATTTCCCATAGCTGCTGTCCTGGCCAGCTTCCACCTGACCACTGCACTGCCAATGGACAACTTTCTCTACAACTCCCTTCCTACAAGGAAATTACTCCTCCCTTCCCACCTCCATCCCACTTTGCTCCAAGGAACTTCCATTTCCCCGTGGGAACCCTCACCCTAGTCTCACACCCCAAACTGCTACCCCGGGGAAGAAACACTTCCTTCCTGGTGGCCGGGGGTAATCTTCAGATCCACTTTTAGGTCTCCGGTCGCAGACCCGCTGGGGTGAGGGGTGGGGTTCCCCCAAACCCTTCAAAGTTCCCACCCATCCGACACCCCCACCCCACCCCACGAAAGACCATCTGCTCCCCACGTCGGCTGGAGCTCGACTTCCTCGGACAGCCGCGCTCTTCTGGAGGGTCCGGATCACCGACACACCGACACACACACCCCGACACACACACACAGAGCCAGGCCGCTCCCGGTCACCCCGGACCCCGGCGGCCCTCGGTCTCCCCACTTCCCCTCGCTCCCCGGCAGGAGCCACTCCTAGTTCCCTCAGGTCCCCGGCTCTCAGCGCGCCAGCCGCTCCCAGGCTCCCCGGGGCTCCCGGCTCCCCGCCACCGCCGGCACCCGAGCCGTCCGGGGTATCCCCAAGTCACCGCACCCTCGGACCAGTCACCCCGGGTCACCCCCCACCCTCACACCCCGGCCGCTGCCGTCTCCCCAGGAAGCGGCCGCTCTCCACAGCGGCCGCGGGTCAGTGCTCGGGACCCGAGCGTGCTCCGAGAGCCCCCGGCCGGACCCGCGGGGTCCCGCGCCAGCCGCCCTGCCCACAGCGACCTCGGCCACCCGCAGCCCGGCCATTCTCCCACCAGCCCGTCAGCGCGAACTCGCCGCCGCCGCCGCCGTCGCCCCGGCCCCGGCCCCGACCCGGCGTCCAGGCCCGCTTCCTTCAGCCTCAGCTTCCTAAACGCGGAGCTAGAGTTTCCGCCCCGCGACGGCCTTCAGACTTCGGGCCCAGGTTCCGGACACTCACCTGCCGCTGCCTCCGGACCAACTCCAGTGCCTCTTCCTCTACCTCGGCCGCCAGGAGCCACCAAGCGCCACCACCTCCCCCATGACAACAGGCCCACCCCCATCATCTTTCCGACCTGCCCATTGGACAACGGGGCGGAGGTTCTCTACTCTTATTGGCCCAAGTTACCTGCCCGTCATCGTGTCTTTACCGCCCCTTTTCCTGGACCTGGTATTCGCCCCCACCGAGACCTGGAACGTCCTAGTCCAAGCTTTAGTTGTCATTGGTTGATGGTTGGACAGTTCGAAGTTATGATAGGCTACTAAAAGTGTCTATTAAGTTAACAGGCACTGGACGTGACGGCCACGGTTGGTTCAAGCTTGTGCACAGTTTGGTTGCACAGTAGAAAGCTCACGTCCGAGGTTACCGGGGAAGGGTTAACTCTTTGTTGTGGAGTTCGCGCAGTGAACCAGGTGAAACTCACCCACTGCCAACACACTCATAGAGATAACACTTGCAATACGCCAACAGCACCAAAAATTGTCTTTAGAAGTGTCTCTCACCCACCTCTGGGGAGAAAGATCCCATATCAATTAAAATCTCCTTTTCTTGGGGTCCCAATGAGCCCCATTTCCTTGAAGTTCTTTCCTGTCTCCATGCTGGAGCGCAAAGCGCGGCGGTTTATTTAGCAGCAATCAGTCTACTTCCATTGCAATTATAAGCGTAATTGCAATAAACTTAAGGGTCGTGTTGACAATTCTCTAGCCTCCAGACCCACTCCTGACTTCCCTTCAGCAAGTTTTAAATAAATGAGGATTGCTTTTCCTCCTACCTCTCACTTCCCACCCGTGCTTGAATTTTATGTTCAGCAGTTCTTAAATAGCCCTACTAGCTGTGTGTCAAATACGTTAAAAGCTTGTCTTTTTTCTTCTTCTAAACCTCTCCCTAGCAGTCTAAATTAGGGCCATTGAGTGAATTGCAAGGCTTCTTTTTTCTTCTTCCCTCACTTGGCACAATGATTATGAGAATAAATGGTTGCATTTTTTATTCCTTTGGGTACAAATCACAGTAGGCATTTTTGACAAATCTGGTGTTGCTATAAAAACTTGTACTCCTAGAAATATATTCGTCATTAGCTTTTTGACTTTTCTTTTCCACCCACTTTTCCTGCTCCTAAATAAGAAAATGCTGGCCTGATTACTCTCTCAGTTTCTAAATCAAATTTAAATATACCTTCCTCACAACTCTACCTGCAATATGCAAAGTCATGGATGGCGAAACATATACACTTGAGGACAGTTGGGCAAGGTTGGAACAAGTCAAGGAGGTCTGACCCTCATAAGCACTGCTTTATAACTGGGACCTCCCTGTGGGGCCACGAATCTGGACTTTGGAAGTTTTGCACTTTGCCTGTATTGTCTTCTGGCTATCTCTTTGTCCCATATCTTTTTTATTTACTAGCCTTCTGCTCTTTGTGGAGCAAGATACAAGGAATCTGAAACCGTATGGTTTGTTATTCCGGAGAAGAAGAAAAAAGAAGCAGCTGTCTGTTTTCTAGCCTATATTTTCAGTCAAGTTTAAATAAACTACACACTTCCATCATCAAACTAAATGGAAATTACTCCTCCAGTAACTATACATAACAATAAGATGTCTTCCTAGTTATTGTCCGGAACTTTCCTCTCCCTTCTCTCATCCTCACCTTTCAATTTAGAAATAGCCTCACATTCAATTCAATGACTCACAAAAAAAAAAAAAAAAAATCCCATAAAAGGAAAGCAGAAAAGCCAAAATAACTAAAGAGATGTATGAATCACTCCCTTGAAAGAAAGATCAGATACTGACCACGATAAGATGGCCTGAGCTAATGTCTTAAAACAAATGAAGTAGTATGCAAATACGATAACACCCCAATGCGAAGGCAATATCAATATATCCTTTTACGTAGCCGTTTCCTATATCACTAATAGCTTTCTTTTCTTTAGTCTTGGCAATGTGCCATACTACCAATTTTAGAGCAAGTTAGAAAGACAATTAATATCCTGGCACATAGGAAACAATAACAACAATAACGTCATAGGAGGGCATGGCCATTATTATGGTACTTTGGGTAATAATGGCTCTTGCACAGCCACAGTGGCTAGGTGTCATAGAGAACATAGAATTAGGCCAGTCTCACTAAGAGGACTTGCCGTTTAAGTTTAGGAACTCAACAAAATGACTATCACCAAAAAAAAAAAAAAAAAAGTGGACAATTGCCCTATAGTCATTATTTCGGAGATTAAAAGGCTTTCATAAATGCATTTGTTCATGTTTGGATACATTTCCAGCACTCGCATTCTTTGAGAACATCACTTAAGAAAGAAAAATGTAAAGTAGATACAACACAGTAAAAAGAAGGAAAATCTTAAAGAAGGAAGGTTTTCAAGAACTTGCTTTGAACTAGCAGAAGGCTATTGTGTTATCAAAGACTGCAGCACTGGACAGGTTATTGCCTGAACCCTGTATTTTGATTTTTACGTGCACATGGTAACCTATAACGTAATTACTCTGTGTAGCTTCTCTTTTCTTTGCCACTCTCAGGGCCTGCGCTCAGAACACGGAGTCTGGGAGGCTACAGCTTTGTGTTGTGTAGCTGGCTAAGGGAGGTGGTGCAGATGGTATCTGTTCATAGCCACTTGCTTAATCCAGGATGGCAGGTATATTAAGAGCCAAAACAGCCTCTACCGACTGCAATTAAGTGGAAAATGGAAGGTCATACTGGTTTGGTGGTGTATGCCTATAATCCAGCACTTGGAAGATTGAGGCAGAGATAGAATGAGTTCAAGTCTAGCCTGGAGTAAGTAATAATGATGCCCTGTAGAAAGGAAGGAAGAGAAGAAAAAAGGAAATGGTGGGCTAGGAGTAACATCCCAATGTCTGAGGGATGATATGGTGTGCATTGACCTTTTGTGATTATTAAAGCTACGTTTTCTGCTGCTCTTTTTTCATAGTCACTTTTCTTTTTTTCTTTCTGTCAATACTGGGTCATGAATGCAGGGTCTAGGCACTGTCCCTTTGCTTTTTTGCTCAAGGTTTATACTCTACCAATTGAGCCACAGCTCCACTTCTGGCTTCTTGGTAGTTGGAGTTTGGAGTCTCATGGACTTTCTTGCCTGGCTTTGAACCTCAATCCTCAGATCTCAGCCTCAGATACACCCAGCCATAGTCACTTTTCAAGGGAACAGAATCCAAGTGTCCTTTCATATCTTCTCAATTCCAGACAGGCATAATCTGATTAGGGAAAAGGTCTCTTTCTTGGTTTTGGAATCCCCCCACCCCCATCACCCACCATTTTATATACATAATTCCACCTGGATTTAAAGTGGCAAGCAATTGCTGAAGAAAAATCACTCCAAAAACAGACAAGGGCCAGAGAAGCCTGCCACTAGCAGTTGGAGACAGGCCAAGATATTTGATAAGTGGTGTTAGAGGGATCCAGAGGGTGGAGGCTAACAAAGATGAAGGGATTAGAGAGAAATGAAAAGAAGGGGAAGGGGAAAGGGGAGAGAAAGAGGGAGGGAAGGAGGAAGGGGGGAGGAAAGGAGATAAGGAAGGGAAAGAAAAAAATGAAGGAAGGGAGGGAAGAAGAGAAGGAAAAAGGAAAGGAGGGAGGAAGAGAGGGAAATAGAGCTATTTGACATCTGGTCAGGAAAGGAAAAGGTAAAGAAAGCTAGAACAAGAGTCCAGAGGCTCCATCAGAGTGCTGAGCCAGCTCAGAGTCCTATCCCTGCCCCTGCCCCTCCCTGATGGTGGACTTTATACCAGGTTGCATAATTGCACCAGCAAATTACCCACTCTGTCACCTGGAAAAGGGAAAGAGTATCAAGGTTCCAGCCAGTAAGACTGTTGTTTCATTGTCCTCTTTTCAAAACCTGCTGCTCCAGTAGCAAGGCAGGACAAGGTTCATGCTTCCAGCCAGGAGTATATCTTCATAAAGGGGAACACGGGCTTAAGCTCTGGCAGAAAACATTGCTAGTGTCCCAATCTAGGAAGTTTCCAATACTGGGAAGTGATTCACTGCTTTCCAAGCTGAAACAAGGCATTGTGGTTTCAAAGTTCAAGGTTCTATTTCACGGGTAGGAAGAAGAGGGGAAACATCCACAGAAGGGGCTGTTCTCTCAGGCAGAGCTATTTGCTTTCTGATTGCAGAGCCTGTGTGATTTTTTTTTTAACACCATGTCATACCTTATTGCTAAATATATTCATTTTTATTCCTCTACTGGTATGAGTACTTATAAAATGGATGGTTTATTAGTTCTTAGCTCAGCCATTGTACTTTGAGAGGAGTCCCCGGTGACTATCACCGGATCTGTGGGTGGACCAACTATTCTTCTGTATCAGGGAATGGGCTGTGCAAAATACTTAGCATCATTTAAACTTTTGTCCACTCCTGTCTTACATGCACACCAAGAATTTCCTGGAAACCTGGCTACTCTCCAAGGATTTCTCAGAAGAGAATGCCTTCTAGAACTCCAGTGTTCCATTCACTTGGAGCCCCAAAATAAAAAGCAGACGTGAACTCAGACTCTTGAACCTAAGATGTATATCCTGGACTTAAAAGGATGGATATACTAGCAGGAAGATCTTCATCAGCAATCTACTTTGGGATAATAGTGCCTACTCGTGAGACTCATTTAAAGTCTAAATGGCAGGATCGGGGATAATAGTTCCATAGTAGAGTACTTGCCTAGCATTTATAAGGCCCTGGGATTTTCAGCACTTCAAAAAAGAATAATAATAATAAATCAATTTATAAGTTAATAAATAATTATATACTAGTTTATAAGTTTATTATATACTAGTTTATAAGTGAGAGAATGTGTTCAATCCAGAGCCAGTGTATACCGTATAACAATATGTAACTGATACAACTCTATCACTATTAATGTTATTATTGAGTACATATAATAGTTGGTTTTCTCTTATAGCTATTAGAAGGAACCTTTTATGAAGTGTAAATTATATAATATACACAATTCAGGACTTGGCGCATAGTCAATCACAGTAACCACTCATTATTATTAACATGATTGATGTGTGATACCTGGTTGTGTCTCCACACTACT